TTAGATAATGAATGAGTTGAGAGATAGATAATGAATAAGTTGAGATAGATAGATAGATAGATAGATAGATAGATAATGAATAAGTTGAGATAGATAGTTAGATAATGAATGAGTTGAGATAGATAATGAATAAGTTGAGATAGATAGATAGATAGATAATGAATAAGTTGAGATAGATAGATAGATAGATAGATAGATAGATAGATAGATAGATAGATAATGAATAAGTTGAGATAGATAGATAGATAATGAATAAGTTGGGATAGATAGATAGATAGATAGATAATGAATAAGTTGAGATAGATAGATAATGAATAAGTTGAGATAGATAGATAGATAGATAGATAGATAGATAATGAATAAGTTGAGATAGATAGATAGATAGATAGATAGATAGATAGATAGATAGATAGATAATGAATAAGTTGAGATAGATAGATAGATAATGAATAAGTTGAGATAGATAGATAGATAGATAGATAGATAGATGAATAGATAGATAATGAAGTTAGATAGATAGATAGATAGATAGATAGATAGATAGATAGATAGATAGATGTAAAAACAGAAATAGGAAAAAATAGACGTTAACAGATTGAAGGAGACATAGAAAAAATCTCTGCCTGTTCATCTTTTATTTTCATTAAAACAAAAACAAACACTATGAACATCTTATAGATATCATATCTTCATAAATGATAACGATGAGGATCCTGCGTGTGGGTGTGTGTGTGTGTGTGTGTGTGTGTGTGTGTAGGACAGTCGTGATATTTGGAAACAATGATCGCCTAATAACATTAACGATAATGAGGTGGTAGAGAAAAAGGAATGCTTTCTACCTTTGCAGAAATGAGGCCCTCACTAACAGGTCAAAATATGTGCATCCCGCCAGGTGTATTCAATAATCATATAAAAAAGAAATAGACACTGCGCCAGAGACTGCGTGCATGGGATATTACGTTACTAGCATTTCCGGTACTATTATTATCATAATTCTATGATAGTTATCGTAGTTAACTGGGTGACAGTACTTTTTCCCAAATGTCCCGCACCTTCCACAGTATCCACAGATTCCAGCAACACCGTCGGCTGGGTAGTTGCCGTTATACTGTGAATATCCAATTGCTCTAATTTCGAATTTAGTGGTTTCAGTACAGTTCAAAGTGCTCTGATTATTACGAGCACGACAGTTATCTTTATGCAGACAAGCGAGTTCCTGAAAGACTTTTTATCGCTCGTGATCTTCCACCTGGGGTCAACTGGCCCAATTACGACATGTCATGCCTTACTATTGTTGATCATAATGCCCACATCCGGTCTTCTTGTTTCGATGGAATAACGGATTTAAATCTAACAGTTCATTATTATTATTATTATTATTATTATTATTATTATTATTATTATTATTCCCTATGATTTCTGTTGTATACCCATTACCGCCCGGGTCCCACCCAGAGACCTAAGATCAGAAATGACATCATGACATTTTATAAAGAACATTTGTGTTATGACAAAATAAATAAAACAATAAAACAGCCTAAAAACAGAGTTTATATAAAGTCTATCATAATATGTGAGAACATTTTTTTGTATTTCTTTGAGACATGGGGTGCCTGGGATCTGTTCAATATATATATATATATATATATATATATATATATATATATAAAATATAAAAGAACAGTAAGATATATAATCCGGTGTTCTTATAGATATTTTTATTTTTACAAAAATAGTGCTCAATGTAAATTTACAGAGCATAATATTATAAAATAAAACAATTAATTTATAATATATATATATATATATATATATATATATATATATATATATTATTAACATTTCACCCAAGCTAGGCGGGAAGCCACTAGCACGCAAGGGGTTAGAGAGAGTTGGAGTTGAACAAAATAGGAATGATAGTGGAAAGGATGAAGAGAAGGATAGGGGATAGATCAGGGCATCTGGAGACGTCGATTGACATTACATTTGAATAGTCGGGGATTATAGCTATCAGGGAAACAGGAAGAGGGGGGGAGTTCAATCAGGCGAGAGGTGCGAAACATGAAGCTATTGGAGTAGAAGAGACGGCTACATTTTAACAGTTTCGACAGTGAAAGGATGAGCGAGATGCCAGGCCTAGTAGAACGCTTTAAATTCATGAAGTCTAGGGAACTAAGTTCATCCGGGCAGTTACCATGAAATATATATATATATATATATATATATATATATATATATATATATATATATATATATATATATATACGTATTTTACACGTCTATTCATTTATTTCTCATATATATATATATATATATATATATATATATATATATATATATGAGGAAAATGCATGTAAAAGTGGAAAAAAGTTTTTTCTTGTGACGCGTTTCCTCTTTATAACATCATCAGTATTGTCACTGATATATAAAAATATATCGTTAACTCTTAAATATTCGAACGGAAAACTTAGCATATCACTAAGAACAATACATGAAAATGTAATCATATTTTCTTTGAATAATTTTGTAAGTTTCTCAACATGGTTATATTTAGAGTTTAATATTCGTAACATTTATTTTTTTGAAATTATATAATAAATTAGAGATTACTTAGTTATCCTGATTTCAATAATCCTCGATTTTATCTAAGGTCCGTTATCGAGTTATTTGAATTATCATATAGTTGTAATTTGTTTGACCATGACATCAAACGTTAAAATATCCCCACCCCCTAGTTGGGTTACTGATTGGTTTTTGAACCTTTAACCCTAGAACACTAACCCTGGGTACATAGTACCCAGCACAAATTTTCCTATTTTTAATTACAATTTTCAGTACCTGATTTTCTTACCTAAATAATGTTTTTCAGTTCTTATTAATGTTAATTCAAAATACAAAGTTTGAAGTTCCTGCATGTAAAATATTTCGAATAAAGATTTATATTTAATTTTTTTTTTTTATATTTTCAAAATCGGGTATGATATACCCATGGTTAGTAGTGGTGTAACTTTAATTGATGGTTAGTGTTCTAGGGTTAAAAAACTTTTTATTTTACAATCAACACTATCACTTGACACGACACCAGAATTTTTTAAAATAAAATGTCTATTTTTTAGTGATGTTATTACATAATTATGTTATCCGATAAGTAATTCATCATTTCTCTTGGACCAACTTCAATTGTTTTATGACTCTTCGCGCAGAACCCTTCACTTCCCATTCAAGAAAGACATTCGGATTACTAACACAAAAACAGAGAATGTCTCATATCGAGAATATTTAATATTGAAAAACATAAGGAAAAAATTAATTATTTTTTAATAATATGTGGAAATCTTCGTCTTTTACCTGAAGACGGTCGTGAGACCAGAAACACGTGTAGTAAAATTATGGAAAATAAAGCATAATGTTTAAAAAAAAAAATCCACATTACAACCAAAAACGTTTGCAGCACCTCCTCTTCTCTTCTTTTTTAATATACACACTTTTCTCTCGTTGGAACCACTATAACCTCTTTCTTTTTAAATATATATATATATATATATATATATATATATATATATATATATATATATATATATATATATATATATCGGGTGAATTGTAATGCATAGCGGTTCGGAATAAGATATGGGTAAAGCCGGAATCAAATTCAAATCGAGATCATTACATTATGGCACAAATACTCTAGAGGAAAGCTAAGCTGGGTTTTAAATAGTAGGGCAGACTTGTGTTTTTAGCCTTGGTTGAGAGCTAAGAGAATGACAATTCTGAATTTAAATTAAAACTTGTGGCACTCAATATGCACCTGTTCTCTCTGGATTTAGTTTTTTTACAGCGATAATCAAACCATATGTCCGGGTAGTTGGGCCGCTCGGTTCGAAGAACAGGGCCGCTGGATCCTCCGATGTGGGAAAGGATATATATATATATATATATATATATATATATATATATATATATACGTTTGTGTTTGTGTGCGTTAGTGTAATATTTATCAGCAAACTAAAACTAAATTACTATATAAGCCAATGCTATTCGCTTAACTGAAAATAAATGCTATGGATTTATTTTCCCTTTTATTCGTCCTGGCCTATATATATATATATATATATATATATATATATATATTGTCATTCGCAAACAGTACTGTTTCGCTGTATCACAGCTCCTCAGTGCGACTACACATCCGAATACTTCAAGCCCGGATCGAAACCCAACCGATCAGTCAGAGTTTCTACCACTGAGCTAGCTTCATTCGACAGAGAGAAACAACTAAATCTAGAGTATTGTTTTTACAGAATGTAAACATATATATATATATATATATATATATATATATATATATATATATATATATATATATATATATATATATATATGTGTGTGTGTGTGTGTGTGTGTGTGTGTGTTACTGTTCTGAGTTAACTATACATATAAATATATATGTATGTATGTGTGTTTGTGTGTGTGCGTGTGTGTGTGTGTAAAATGTATGATCGAAAATTCTGTTAATGTGTACGTATCTGAAACCCTGATCTAACTATCTATCTATCTATCTAACTATCTATCTATCTATCTCTTTCTCTCTTTATATATATATATATATATATATATATATATATATATATATATATATATATATATATATATATATATAAGGTCAACACCAAACGGCGACGGTCTGTTTCGTGCTTGAACGATATCTTCATGACCTGAAGAGTGTGTTCGGGCATGAAACAGACTATCGATCGATATCCACTTTCATAATTACATACCCTCCTGTTCTAACAAGCATGACAAACCAGAGAATATCAATAGAGAATAGATAGATAGATATAGATAGATAGATAGATTATGAACAGATCGGGATAGATAGATAGATAGATGAATGATAGATAGATAGATAGATAGATAGATAGATAAATAGATAGATTATGAACAGATCGGGATAGATAGATAGATAGATAGATAGATAGATAGATAGATAGATAGATAGATAGATTATGAACAGATCGGGATAGATAGATAGATAGATAGATAGATAGATAGATAGATAGATAGATAGATAGATAGATAGATAGATAGATAGATAGATATATTATGAACAGATCGGGATAGACAGATAGATAGATAGATAGATAGATAGATAGATAGATAGATAGATAATGTATACTGGAGACATACCTAAACAAAGACAGCCATCAATAAAAGAATTGCTGTAACCATCAACTGCGCTGAAATTGGCCCAATAAATGTTTTCTGAATGTGAAGTTTAGCAAAAAAATAATTGACGCTGTTACACTTATTTTTTATGTAATTATTCATAAATTTTCTATTTCACTTTAATTTTTTTTTAGAATTATATAGAGAAATAGATAGATAGATAAAACACAGAAATTTTTAACAAATATTGTCGCAATAACTTATCGGAAGAGGAAATAATTTTATCTTTTATCTAACGTGACTGCATGCAGATTTCGACCAAACCTTATGAACCGATACGGATTTGCTCGCGAAAATTCCTCCAAGCCCTTAAACAGGTCTCTGCCTACACCTCCCCCTCTACACACACAAGCTCAACGCGGGCCCGCATTCACGCCCAAAACATATACAGGAGTCAATTTCTTTTCTTTTTTTTTTTTTACTAATAAACGTAAAAAATAAAATTTAAGGAAAATACAG